TTTGTTCCACCTAGAAGGAAATACTTCAATTACAGAAAACAAGAAGTGTTCAGAAGATAAACTGTATGTTTAATAAATCCTGAGCAATCAATAGCATACTTACATGGAAAGTCATCCACAAACATTGGGTCTATGTTGTGCAGCAGTTCCACTCTGGGAGAAGGTCTTCCTTCACTAAGAGAGATTTCAAAAGGAAATATTATTTTCCTACTACAGCTCATTAAGATTCTGGCTTTTTCTCATCCTAATAGAGAGTGAGCTCCCATCTGTAAATTAATTACTATCAACTTTAATCTGAATGCTCTTTTCCAGCCTAGCAGAAACAGCTTTTGCCCTTATAAGTTTCCCCTAATTTCATTGGTGTTTATGGGGATTATTCATAAGTTTACAGACCAGAGAAGTGGCCCTACCAAAGCACAGTTTTACAAAAATCAGCTTTAAGAACCAAATTTCACAGCATAAGCTGGCATGGCATTTGCTATGCTCTCTGAATACCTGAACTAGCGCTGAAAGCATTTTGGCTGGGTGCCTCAAAAAACACCACAGGCATCGCTATCCCACAAAAAACCCCACCTTTGATTTGTAATTGATCTCACAAGGATTATGTAGATACTCTGAACCTTCTTGAAAAAAAAAAATCATTCTTCTTTTTCTAGCCATTGGCTACATAGACATGGTGTAGAATAAGCCTCTGAACTTACCCACAAATTTTCTTAGTTAAGTGGAAAAAAAAATTTACTCCTTATAAAGGTCAGCATGAGTAGGAAGACATAACTAGAAAGAACCTTGGCAACATCAAGACACAACAATATTTTATTATTTGATAGTGAATCTAAACACATCCTTTTAGAAATTTCCAAATAATTTAAACTGTTTGTTTTCATTATGGAGCTTCACTTAAGACACAAAAATTCAACCAGGGCCCCTAAGTTGCTTGACATTAAGAACAAAAATGTCAGGTAATATAAACCTTAGTTGAGAGCTAAAAAATTACAATTATTTTAATACATAAAATATATATTTAAATAATATTTACCTGTAATTTAAAATTTTCAGTAACAAATAATTAAAATTAATATTGTTCTATTGCATTTTTAAAACCATTTCTGGATGCTACACATCTTGAATAAGTACAAAACTAACATGGAGAATTGGATAAAAGATTAAAAGTGTTCGGATAATACACTATTATAATTAATATAGAAGAAGTACAATAATTAAGTTACAGTGTTAGTAATTCAATGTATAGAAACTGCCACAAAAATATTTTTCCCAAAATGTGAGTGAAAGTTAAATTCCACCACCACGCACCCCCCTAATATCTACAGTAGTCACACTCTTAACTAAGGAACACCTGGCCTTATTTAAACAAATTTTATCTTAGATTTAATAAACTCTTAACTGTCTCTATGTGCTCCACTGACAGCTGTTTCCAAGTGTGCCTTTTGCCATCTGTTTATAGGTAACAGTAACATGAACCAGTTAGCACAACTTACACTAGGATGTGAATTTATAGCGTGTCATTGACTCTGCAGTAACTGCCTGGGAAGATATTCTTATTTTGCAGTTTCTGAGCTGGATCTACATTTCTCAGTATACTGTAAAACCACTAGAGTTATGCTAAGTAATTCAGTATCTTCCACCAGAGACAAATACAGAAGAATGAAGTAACTTCCTCCTATTTACTTCTCATCTTTATACATTCAATATTCATACTGTACCATTCAGTGTTCACACAGTGTTGTGTGACCAGCAGGTTGAGGGAGGTAATTCTCCTCCTCTACTCTGCTCTGGTGAGACCCTATCTGGAGCACTGCATCCAGCTCTGGGGTCCTCAGCACAGGAAAGACATGGACCTGTTGGAGAGAGTCCATAGGAGGCCACAAAAGTGATCAGAGGGCTGGAACATCTCTCCTATGAGGAAAGGCTAAAGCGAGCTGGGGTTGTTCAGCCTGGAGAAGAGAAGGCTCCGGAGAGACCTTACTGCAGCCTTTCAGTACATGAGGAGGGCCCACAAGAAAGATGGGGAAAGATTTTTTATCAGGACCTGTTGTGACAGGACAAGGGGTAATGGTTTAATACTGAAGAAGGGTTGATTTAGACTGGATATAAGGAAAAAATTTTTTACGATGCTGGTAGTGAAACACTGGTACAGGCTGCCCAGAGAGGTAGCAGATGATTTATCCCTGGGGCACATTTAAGGTCAAGTGAACAGGGCTCTGAGCAACCTAATCTAACTGAAGATGGCCCTGTCCATGGCAGAGGCATTGGATTAGATGACCTTTAAAGGTCCCTTTCAACTCAACTTGTTCTACAATTCCATATGAGTCTATGATTATACCAACTATATTTACAGTGTTCAAGCAGACTTGTATTACTATCATATCATTAATTTCCTTTATAACTTTTAATGTGGACAGTGCATATTATACACTAAACATGGCTATTAACATTATTGTACAGGTGGTAGAACACAAAAAATAAAGATTACACCTGCATTAATTTAAGTTTTTCATGCTGCAGTTGTCATTTTTATGGAATCCATTTTTGTTCTGGGATAGAATAATGGCATCAGTAACTTGGAAATGTGATTTATATATCATCATCATGCCTAGGATTCGCGAACGAAGATTTTGGAAAGCTCTATCCACATTTGCTACAGGCATGCTGGTGGCTTATGAGGCCAATACGTG